CACACCTTTGCGCATTTCTTACGTTTAGACCGACCAATTTCGATACCCACGATTTGCTTTTAACTGTCCACTTTTAACAGTCCACTTATTGTACAAGCGTAAAAAGCGTTTAACTGTTATATTGTACGACCAGAAATATAGTGCTTTAACGATTTAAGTATTTTACGGTGCCTTAATTGCAGATCATCGCAGGACCGTGGTAAAACCCGTCCCCACGGATGTTTATTCTGCATTAAGAAGATTTTTATTTGAAACGTAAACGAACTGTTTTAAATTTGATTAAGCATCGATGCTGCTGGATATTTTCGAATAAATAGAAGCGTTTATTTTAACATCAGGTGATATGTATCGTTCTTAACAGTTTAACCTAAATCGCAATCCAGTAGGTACGTATTTATGTACCTGATTCTCGAGTTTTGGTTAGTTTTGGTTAGTAAGGCTGTTTTCACTGGATAGTTCAAAGAGTAATGGTAAGTACATGTAACAAAATAAATAAAAACTAAAAGTTCAGATTTTCACGAAATTATATATTTTCACAATTGTTTCGACAACACCATGTCTTTATCAAATGTAATATTTACATACTACCTGCTACTATATATAACGAAAAATGACCATAAAACCTTAATTAATGTTGTTTTGAGAATTTAAGTTTAATAATGGAGAGGTATTTAAATCTAATTGATCGTTAAGCAATACATTTGAATGTCTTATTTTGTTAATGTCCATAGCTTCCAACAAATTTAATTTTCTACTTTTTGTGGCTGTATATAAAATATCAAAATTGTCGTCAAAAATATGTTTTTCTGTGTTTAAATGTGCAGAATAATTAGAATCTAGATTATTGTTTTTAAACACTCTTTTATGTTCTTTAATATATATTAATATAAATTTTAGGACATGATCAACCTGTAGACACCTGGATTTTTGAGATTTTGGACACATCGTTTTATTGTTTTTTAAAATTTTCCTATTGTGCTGTTAGTTCGATATTTTGACAAATGATTTGAAACTTTTTCACTGGCCATGGAGATTAACAAAACGAGACATTCAAACGTTCACTGAAATTTAAATACCTCTCCATTATTAAACTTAAATTATCACAACATCAATTAAGCTTTTAATGTCAAATGTCCTTTTTCGTTATATATAGTAGCAGGTAGTTTGTAAATATTACATTTGATAAAGACACGGTGTTGTCGAATTGCGTGAAAATGTGAACTCTTAATTCTTATTTATTTTGTTAAATGGACTTTCATAATGTAAAAGCCACCTCAGTACCTGTACTTATTATACACCATTTATCTTATAGGCAAGTTTGAAAATAATTTTGTATTTTTGTGTCTTCTACGTAGTTCTTCGATTTGTAAACAACAAGTCTTTTTCAAGACTGTAGATTATATACGCTGTAGATAAAGGTACGTCATAAGAATACAGATAAGTATTTATTAGAATCTTACGATTAAACAGTTTTTTAAGGATCCTGTTTTTTAACACTTTAAATTGTGGAGGCTGTGGAATGAAGCACAAGGTGGTAGTCGAACCTAATCACAGCAAATAAAAAAACGGAGCCATATGTCTTCGGATGCTAAACAAATTGTTTTGAATGTTGACAATTTTATAAGAAATTCGGAAGGGAAAGTAGGAGCAGCAAGAATTGCTCGATGAAAAAGATTGAGAACGTAGTTATATTCCGCTTGTTAGTGTAGGTAGATAAATTCCTAAGACGTTCCTAGAGTAATAAACAAGGAGCACAGTTAATCACGGGGTCTGTTGTTAAAGCACTATAATTCTTGTATACCAGTGGACGACATTTTAGTTTGTTTTACTGGTACCGACAGTTATCCAATTTCTTAAATCTTTACTGATAACTTGCAACCCAATATTTAATTTAAAGTAAATCATTAAAATATAAAATTCGATTCCAAAATTCTTCACGCCGCTTTTCACAGTACAGAATCTAATATCGAGTAGCTTTTAACTATGGTAATCGTAGCCAAAATATTCTTAAGAAAAAACAATGACATAATCGTCTGAAATCAGTTTTTCCAATAGTCAAATATAATATTTCAAAAATAGCTTTTAATACAAACATTTTTTTTTTGGGAAAATTAATTAAAAACAACAAAAATACAACAAAAGCGTGTATAAACTTTCTTGGAACGACCACGCAAAACAAAGAAGTGCTGTTTACATAGTTATAGATACAAAGAAAATTTTTGAAATTTGATTCTGTATCACGGGCTAGCGGCTAAAGCTCAAATGCAAAATGGTAGGTATCGAGTAAGAAGGTCGGTACGTAGGATTATCCTAAACCGATGAGTGAGTACAGAGTGTGCGAAATTATGGTCCCTACTCCCTTAATGCTTTAGCTTTTTATTTTTCATATATACAAAGTGTTCGTCCGAGGAAAATATCAGCTTCCTCATTTTAAATAAAAAAAAATTTCAATGTTACGAGCCTGGGTGGAATCCTAAAAGAGGCTGCACACGTTATATCCTAATTTATAATCGTGTTTGTACAAGAAGATTGTATCTATAGTAAAAATTCTCACGGATTTTGAGGAGTTGCTGACTTGACCTTATCTTCGAGTTCAGCTCATCATTTTGTTGTTAAAGAAGATCGTCAAGCTTCCCAAGGCTTCAGCAGTTTCGGAAGATACAGGGTGTTTTATTTAGAATATTCTATATAAGGGAGTAGGGAACCCCATCGGGGACCCGGTGTACACGCCGCCATTTCTTTTGCCACATTTTAATCTGGGTGTCTAAGACCTCAGTTCCCAAATTGGTCCGACAGGTGGACCCCCCAAAACTACGTAGTAGAAAAGAGATCGCCGCCCGAGGAAGTTCCAAAAACAGGGGGGGGGGGGTGGGGGGAGAACTAGCACGAAGCCGACGACAAAGGTGCGGTTAAAACGTGAATACTACTTAAATACTTATTTACACACTCCACCTGAATTGAAGAGTTCTGTTCCCTAGATTAATTGACATGAAGGTTAATAACGTAACATTATGTCCGACGGCGGCGGCGCGCCGCCGAGTTACCTACCGGGGGACTCTTGTGCGTATCTGCCGGAACCCCCGGCGACGCCCCTGCGGTCGTCGGACCGCGTATCACTAGAGTCGTTACCAGAAGAAATGTGTTGTTGATCAGTCTTACCGAAAAATATTTTTTATTATATCTGTCGAACCCTATGACTCGGATCCTACTGAGACTGCTCCGGTTTAGTTGTCGGAGGGCGCGCGAGCGCCCGGCCAGTAAGATTCTACGCTACGTACTAATGACTATGATACGAAAAAAATCACACATGCCTATAACTATATAGGATTTTTAGTTGGGCCCAGAAGATTGTTCGAATATTGAAAGTTCATAATAATAGTTACCATTACACGAAAGCAATATCCACGAAGATACTTATAATCTAGTGAGATGGCGGTACGAGTGCCGGCCGAGTGAAAATGGCATTTTTTTTCGTTCTAGTAGACGTTTCAATCAGCTAACCGGAATATAGTACGCATTTTTGCGTTTATACGCGGCGGCTACTTATTCAGTGGGCGACCTCTAACGTCTCAATTAAATTATCAGACGTAGACTACAAAATATTTTACGAAAATCAAATTTTACAAACAAAAAAGTTTGCAGGATTCGCGGAGTTCACTTGTCTTGTTTACAGGGTAGTCATATTTTAATTTATCATTTTTTACATTTAATTTAGTAATTTTCTAAAATATCAAAAAGTGAAATTGCAAGCAGATTTTTTAAGAATACAATAAAAGTTGCAATGAAAAAAAGTGCAAACCGTTTCCTCCTATGTTAAACCATCGTGAGCAGTTCTAACTCAAAATTTTCTATCAAAGTACTAATCAACTTACGAAAGTTTCTCGAACAGCAAATAGCTTTTTACAAAGGCTAAAAAGGTTCTTACCTATGTCAAATCATTTTGAGCTATTTTCATTAAGATGTCCAATTAAAATACAATTAATTGTCTTACGAAAGTTGCTCAAACAAAAAGTAGCTATTTTAATTGTCTGATAAAAGCTAAGACAAACAAGGGCAAACCGTTTTCTCCTGTCTTACAATTTTTCGAGAGTTTTGAACTAACTTATGAAAGTTTCTCAAACAGCAAGTAGCTTTAGTAGTCCAATAAAAGCTAAAAAATATGCAAAACCGTTTTTCTCTATGTCAAACTATTTTAAGAGATTTAACTAAAAAAAAAATCAATTAAAACAGTATCTATTTAATTAGTTTCCTATAGTTTCTCGACCAGCAAGTAGCTGTTTTAATAGTCCAATAAAAGCTAACATAAAAATGGAAAGGCGTTTTTTTTTATGTCAAACCATTTTGATCGATTTAACCTAAAATTTCCAATTAAATTAGTAAGTTTTTAAATTAACTTACGAAACTTTCTCAAACAGCACATAGCTTTTTTTTATAGCTGATAAAAGCGAAGACAAACAAAACGTAATCCATTTTCTCCTGTAACAATATTTCGGGAGATTTCAACTCAAAATTTTTATTTAAAGTGCTAAGCAACTTTCTTAAACAGCAAGTAGATTGTTTTAATAGTCCAATAAAAGCTAAAAAAAATACGAAACCGTTTTTCGGCAACGTAAGTCAAATAAAAGCTAATTATTCAATTAGCTGGTGTTTTACAAAAATACAAAATACAAAAAATACAAAAATACGGCGAGTCCTGTTTCACATTCCAATGTCTCTAGTGCGGAACAGCATGTAGAAAAAACAATACCGAAGAACCCTGCAACTGTTTTTTTTGGGTAAATAATAAATGCTTTTTAGTCCACTTTTAACGGTTTAAAAGCTACCCGAACAAATCCACCGTAAAAGTAGCCACAGCGTATCTTTATCGCTTGTGGATAATAGTCAATAGCCAGCGGTTAATTGATGAGCTAAAAAAGGGTGCCGTGCTCAAAGCTTCTTCTACCAACCGAAAGGAACTAAGGGAGTCGAAAACTAAAAAAAATCCAAAAAAAACTAATAGGAAACTGCAAGAAATTATTATTAATTAAAAAAAGCATTTACAACAAAAAATCAAAGAAAAACAAAACAATGTACAAATTCAATTTAAAGAACAGTTTTACGATTAAATTAATAATAATATAACAACAAGTTTAAGGGTAGTGATAAAAAAATACCGGTAAGGTGTGTGTGTGGGGGGGTTGGGGGACACCCGTCCCCCTCCCGCGGTTTTTTTCCCTCGACGCCCCCCCATCCGAGGTTGTCCAGGAACAGTAGAAAAAAATACAGCGTCGGTTAAAAACAACAAATAACTAACTTGTCGGGAGGGGGGGAGCCGAGGAACGCGCGATTTTTGACCATTGCGGACCGCCATATTTTCACTCCCACAGCGTCAAACAATATGTAATTTTTAACAGTCTATCAGTCTCTCGGTAAAGTAAAAAAAAATAGAGAGCGGGACCTTAACGCTCGAAAGAAGTCGACTTTCGACATAACCTATACGCAACAAGTCAACTAAAATATATAAAAAAAAATCTGGCTAAAAAATGTCAACAAAGAGCGAGAGAGACAGGATGATAAAAATGCCCTGGCAATATTCAAGAATCGCGGCCGCGTGAGGCGGGGGGCGCGAATTGAGGGGGAGGTGGAGGTGACCCCTTCCGGCGGGGGACGAGTTTGTGTCTGAGATCGCGCTTTTATAAAAAAACAACAACGTTTTAAAAAAATATATATTAACGGCGACTCGATAGTGAAGCTCTCATACACTTTAAGTATATATAGAAAAAATATGTAAAAAGAAGAAAAAAGAAGCACAACACGCAAATCGTGTTTTTACTTGTCTCTCTGTCTGAACGACGTGCGAGAGCAACGAGGCTTTCGAATTGTCGACCTATGTTGATGTTGAAAATGTCACCGGTGAGTGACAAATACGGTTACTTAACATCAAGAAAAAAAGAAAGCTGGAGCAATATTGTGCCTACGTAATGAGAAATATAGGTTTTCGTTTGGTTTTGGCCAATTTTTGGGGAATAAGTTCGATTTTCTGAGAAAAAATTCACAATAACTGACAAGTAATTGAAGAATTTTTTAAGTATCTAAGAATTTTAGTCGCAAAAGGTTTCTCAGAAAATATAACGCATTTCTTAGATATTCTCACTTATTTCCCAGGAATTCTAACTTATTTCTCGGATACTCTGACTTATTTCATAAGACTTAAGTTCTAAGAAATAAATCGCAATACCCGAGAAATAAGTCAGAATATCTGGAAAATAAGTCAAAATTCTTAAGACACAAATTCGGCTGCAGAAATTCTTTTCTGTTTTTCAGAAATTATCATTCAAGAAATAAATCAGAATTTCTGAAAAACAACTCAGAACATCTGAGAAATAAGTATTTGTAAAAAATTAACTAGGAATTTTAGCCGCAATAAGCATCTTAGAAATTATGACTTATTTTTCAGTTATTCTGACTTATTCCTTAGAATTTCTGACTAAGTAGTAATTTGTTATTTATTATGCATCGTTTTAAAGGAATTCTAACATAAACCATAATTTCTGAGAAATAAGTCAGAATAACCGAGAAATAAGTTAAAAAATTCTGAGAAATAAGTCAAAATAACTGACAAATGAGATCAGAATTTGTTACTTGTTTTGTAAGAATTTTTGTCGCGATAACTTATGAACTTACTTCTCAGCACTTCTGGCTTAAGTCAGAATTTCTGAGAAACAAGTTCTGAGCTGTTTCTCAGAAATTCTGAATTGGGCTCGAAGTTCTGAGGAATATATCACGACATCCGACAAATGTTTTGCAGAAATTCCGACTTATTCCTGAAAAGTTTGTCAAAAATTAAACTAAAACCTGTATTTTACTTTCGGTGACCGACACCGGAACACTCGTCAGTTAAGTGTATCACAACCCCAAAATCAATTACGTAGAACCACATTTCTAAGAGCATTGAGAGATCCAATTTTTTACACAATGAGTTTCACTTCGGCCCGCCGTCGTTTACGTTGCCGGGCGGGGTGAGGGAGGGGGGTCGGGTAGTTTTATCTTAAAAAAAAAAAAAATAGGAATCGCCCCGCTCGAAGCGTCGATGGTGTCCAATTAAAACGAAACGTAACCTAGCTACAGTAGTAAAATAGTCTAACCGCGAGAAAAACACGGCGCCCTCTGGCGACGAAACTAATAAATTACTTGGCGACTTTTTCCGCGGCGCGCCCTCTATCTTAAACTTGGCAGCATCAACAAACGAAATATATTACTACAAACTACAACTCGTATAAAAAAAATAAAAATAATAATAATAATGGTGGAAAGTAATATTGCATGCACCTTACGTACGCTTGCGTTTAACTAAATTACAAAAGTAGAAAACAAACCTAAACGTAAATAATAATAACTAATCAACTCGTCGGAAGTTGGGCACGGCACACACATGCTTACGTGAGGGGGCGTGGTCGGCGTCGCCGCGTCGGTGTGACGTGACAAGGGCACTTTTTACCACGGCCGCTGACAAAGTTCAACCACTTTACACGGTCATTTAAGTTTCCGCGGGATTTTCAATTATCGCAGACCGTTTAACAGAGTTCGTCGCCGTTTACCGATATTTGTTGCCTCGGCAATACTAAAAATCGGAAACTCTAGCGGTGGATTCACACGGGCGTCCATTAACATCAACACCAATTGAAACGTTCGATTTTCTTTCAATTGGCCGCGCAAAATCAATCTAACCTCAAAATCGTCGGCTCACGACCGCGGTTTACTTTTTCGCGCGTTTCACAAACGAGCAAAACTACTATGGCCATTCGCCCATAACCCACAGTAGATGGCAGCACTAACGAAGTGGACGATTTCGTTACGTCATGCCTTACATTTCCAAAGAGATTGAACTATTTAAGTTATATATGGTTTCTTGATATTATCAAGTAGACATCTACTAGACATCATTCAGGCGGAGAAAATCATTTAATATTGTTTAGACTTGGTGGTAGAACTCTTTATGTAACATTATAAGTAGTTTTCTTATTGTTTTTAATCACGCGTGGTAAGGGTTATTACATTTCTTCGAGTTGCAAATTCGATGATTTCAAACGATTCTTGGCGACGATTTGCGTTTTTAAGTGAAAGCAAATTGTACTGAACTGAGTGCTATCAAACGATTCAACGCTTGTCGACCAGATGGCCCATCGTTTCCCTAATGTTAATGTTAATGGAGGCTCGCGTCCTCAAATTCGACACTCGCAAAGTAGCTCACATCTTCTTCCACGCTTTTGGGTGGGCGCGTCCACTATGGCCGCTCGCCCACCGCCGGTTAAACGGTCTGCGAACGTCTGTCCGTCGCCTACCGGGCAAAATGGCTGACGCCACGTCACCGCCAGGCGTAGACCACGGGGCTCGTACCATCAAAGGGTGACGGGGAGGCTAAACACAAAGGTCCTTCGCGGATGACTAGGGTCGCTAACAACGCGGAGGCATCCCGCTTATATAACAACGCTACTACTAAAAAGACATACACAACATCGTACACACGCATATTAAAATAGATCGTGTCATCGCCGACGATGCTCTTTTGTTTTTTTTTTTTGTTTTGTAAGTTTACAACAACGGGGTGGGGGAGGGTCGCGCGATTGCGCGCGGCCCTTAACATCTCCTAATTTCGATAATATCCCTGTTTTGAAAAAACGTGGTAAGTGGGTTTGGTCGATCGACACCTCCTCCGCAGTCCCGAAACAAGCCGACCCGCCCACGCAGTTAAAAAGGCCGTACGAACTTTTTTCCCCCACCGATGAGATGCAAAAAAATACCCACCTTTTTTTCCGCATGCGTTTTTGAAATAACCGAACCGTGCGTTGTTTTTGAAAGCGTGAAGGACAAATATCGCCCGAAACAATTTCGCGGAAATTGAACAAACGAGTTATTATAGATTAAAAAGTAAGATTTCTTTAAAGGCCCGCTCTAAATGCGCTTTAACCCAACAGATGGCAGCATAGTACTCGAAAGCAAAGCAGATTCCTTTAAAGAGTTAAATTTCAGAAATTGGCAGAACTATCTGTCGTCTTTTGTCCGACAGATAGCAGCATCGTCCTTAAAAAGAAAACAAAACTCCCATAACGACGTTTTATGCATGTTCTTTGATAAATTGTATAAATATGTCAATTACAATTAAATGCGTCATCTTTTATGTCGGAGATGGCGACACCGTACCTAAAAACACAAAGATCTCTTCATCGTTTTTTTCTAAAAAGGGATTTTTCCACAGCTTCGGTTGTTAAGTTTTATCTAATTGATGACAGCCTCACACTTAAAACAAAGGATTCCTTTTAAGGCTTTCTCTAAAAAGAATTTTATGCATTTTTTTTGGATAATTTTTGAAGCATTTAAAAACAGAAAAGATTTTTTTACCTGTTTCAACAGATGGCGAATCCAATAAGATATCTTTACCGTTTTTCAATTTTAAAATATGACATATAGACTTTTTAAGACCTTTTTTAAAGAAATCTCCATGGAGTTTTTTTGATTATTTTTTTAAAGATTTCGATCAAAAATAATTACGTCAGTTCATTAGACCGTATTAAAAATCAGAACTGATATCTTTAAAGGCCTTTTCTAAAAAGATCGATATGATTTTTTTTTTTAAATGTTTATGTTTTAACAGCACCATACTAAAAAAAGACCATTGAATTGTTTTTTTTTTAATAAATTGTCTAACGATGGGGTGTAAAAATAAATACGTCATTTTTCATGCAACAGATGCTAGCATCGTAGTAAAAAACAAAAAGTTCCTTCCTTTAAAATAATTCGTACAAGAGCGTCAATTAGTCATTACGTCACTTCTCGTCTAACAGATGGCAGCATCGTACCAAAAAAAAAAAGATTTCTTTGCTGGCTTTTCCTAAAAACATCTCAACGTCGGAGGCACAGGTTCTGTCTAACAGATGGCGGTATCGTGCTTAAAAACAGTTGTTTCGAAAAAGACCTAAAGTCAAATTTCTAAAGTTGTCTGAGTTATACGCCATCTTTGTTATGTTTTATGTATTCAAAATTAGAAAAATACTTTTTAGGGCGTTTTAAAAAGATCTTGGTGCGATTTTTATTTTTAACATTGCCAAAGATGCCGATTAAAAATAAATACGGCATTTTGTATCCAACAGGTGGCAGCACGGCATTTGAAGAAAACGGAACAGACTTCTTTAAAGGAGTTTTCTAAAAAGGTTATCATTATTTTTATGATCTTTAGCCCAAAGACGACAATCAAAGTCATATACGTCACTATTTGTCTAACAGATGGCAGCATCGTACAAACAAAAAAAAATCCTTGCTGACTTTTCTTTAAAACGTCTCAATGTCGGAGCCACAGGTTCTCTCCACCAGATGGCAGCATCATATTTAAAAACAGGAGACTTTTTCGATTTTTTCCAAAAATCTTCGAAGTATACGTCATTTTTGGCATGTTTTATGCAATGGACGGCAATATCGCACTTAAAAACGTAAAAGACTTTTTTGCCAGTTTTTTCTAAAAAGACCTGAAGTTAAATTTCGAAATTTGGCAGAGTTATACGACATTTGTTTCGTGTTTCATGTACTCAAAAAAGGAAAACTTTTTTAGGGAATGTTTTAATAAGATCTTTACCGAATTTGTTTTTTTTTTTATTAATAAATAAATAAAGACGTGGCGTGAAAATAAATACGTCATTTTCTATCCAATAGATGGCAGCTTAGTATTAAAAAACAAAATGTTAGTTTAAAGGCATTTTCTAAAAAGATCGTTGTGTTTTCTTTTTCGATAATTTGCTTGAAGACGTCAATTGAAGTCACAGACTAGCGTTTATCAATAAAATTTGCCATGTTTTATGCATTTAAAAATAGAAAAATATTTTTAAGGTGTTTTTTAAAAAGATCCTCATTGAATTTTTTTTTTTAAATAAATTTTCTAAAGACGTGGTTTCAAAAATAAATACGTGATTTCTATCCAACAGATGGCAGAATAGTACTAAAAAACAAAACGAGCCGTCTTCGTCACGTTTTATGTACTTAAAACCCGAATAAATCTTGTTAAGATCATTGTGTTTTTTCTTTTTCGATAATTTGTTCGAGGAACTTTTTTTTAGTTCGGGCGGTACGCTTTCAAATAACATCAATTGATTAAAAGAAAATATCTTCCGGTAAGGATTGTTTCAAAAACGCGGCGGCGGCGGCGGCGGGGCAGGGGAAAAAGCGCAGTAAATCTTCGAGTATCACCGGTTACGATTCTCGACCGACCGGTCGCGCGGGGGGGCCGGCCTTAAGAAAGAGTGTCGGGGGACGTTTTACAGACCGATGGGCGGTACCTGCACGTAACGGTAGATGTAGAGACGGTAATCCTTGCTCGCGAGCACGACCGAGCCGTCGTCCATCAGAGCGACGTCGAAACACTGCGCGTGCTTCACCTTGCTCTCCAACGCGGACACCAACTGACCCTCCTGGGTGAATATGGTCAGGTTGAAGTTGTTGTGGTTGTCGGCGATCAGGATCTCGCCGCTGGCGTTGATGCCCACCCCGATGGGGTAGTTGGTGACGCCCTCGCCGCCGATCTGACGCAGGTAGACGCCCTCGTAGCTGAACACCTTGACGCAATGGGCGCGGTTGTCGCTGATGAAGATCTCCTGTTTGTCGTTGACGACCACCCCGTTGGGGAACTCCAGGTGCTTGGAGCAGCCGAACTTCTGGAGCACGGCTCCGGTTTGGTCAAATATGATGACGCGCATCACTTTGCACTCGACCACGACGACGCGGCCCTTGTTGTCGACCGTGACGCCTCGCGGATGCTGCAGGATGTTCGCGCCGAACTTCCTCACGAACTGCCCGTACTGGTTGTAGATTTGGATCTGGTGGGTAGGAGAGCGTTCGGTGACTATGATGTCGCCAGAGGTGCGCACGACCGCGACGCGATTCGGATAGAGGAGTTGGCCGTCGCGTTTGCCGCACTCGCCGAACTGGAACTTGAAGCGGCCCTCCTTGTCGAAGATCTGGATGCGGTGGTTGTTGGTGTCCGCGACGATGATGTCGTTCTGCGCGTTGACCGCCACTCCGCTCGGTTCGGTGAACTGGCCCTCCATCACGCCGAACTCGCCGAACTTGCAATGGTAGATCATCTTTTGACGCTTGATCTGCGACTTGGGCGGGAAAATGGCGACAGACAGTTTCGACGTGAGGTCGACCATCGGGTCCGGGTGCTGCGCGCGGGATCGGATTTCGATTAGGATCGCCGCACAAACCGACCAAAACTTTCGAATTTCACGTTTTCACACCCAAATGTGGGTGTGAAATCCGTGAAATCACAAAATCTGGTCACGAATTTTGAGCATTTTCGATTAAACCAAAAACCAGTTACATTTTTCAAAATTCAAATTCGAAATCTGCAACCCGGAAGTATGATACCTGAGATTATGAAGTTTTGTTACGATTATTAACTTTTCTAAACTGCCAATGTGAAAACTAAAACCCGCATGTGTGAAATATGATGCACCTGCTCTGTGAAATCATGAAATTTTGTTACGATTTTTAAGCGCTGTAGATTAAATAGCCACCAAGTGCAATTGTCAACAAAATGCTAAATCTGCAACCGAAGTGTGAAATCTGTGAAATCATGAAATATAGTCACGAGTTTTGAGCAATATCGATTAAAACCTGTTAAATTTTTCAATATTCTTGAAATTTCGCAGATTACAGATTACACGCATGTTATTTCATATATTTTACCGGTTCAGCTTATATTGAATTTTTCGCCAAAAAAGAAACTTTCACTTTTCAAACTCGATGAAATCCGGAAAATCATTTAAAGCTTAAAATTTTAGAAACGCTTCGTAATTTCACAAATATTTCACTCATTTCACGGATTACACGCACGTTATTTGACATAATTCACGGATTCACCTTTGATCGGATTTTTTTCGAAAAAAAATTTTTTACTTTCCGAATTCGGAGACATCTGGAAAATTATTTTTTTTGTAGAATATGTGAAATCATTTCGAAATTATTTTGGAGTATGTTAAATCAGTTAAAACCCTGCCAAATCTGCGAAATCACGTGTTCCCGTGAAATCCGGCGGTTGTTTTGGTTACATTAAAAATGGTTTCGCAGAATTCGGAAGTGATTGAGCCGTTGCGTACGTACGTTGGTGAGCGCGTAGGGATCCACCGCGCCATTTTGGAAGATGCTGTCGCCCCCGTTCGACCATTTCTCGTAGGGGTTCAAATTGAGGTCTCCGATGGTGGTGGAGAACGGTCCCAAGCTGTTGGCACTGCTGAATCGTTTGCTGATGATGTTGGACTCGAACGGTGACGTCGACTGGCTCGATATCGAGAACGAAGAGCACACCACGTTCCCGGAACCACCGTTGACGCTGCTTCCGCCACTCGAACCGCCTCCGGTGGGCCTCGCGATCGGAGGCTGCTTACTAGGCCCGACGGAGGCCGCTTCCGAGTTGGACCTCACGTATCCGAACGTGTTCCTCACTCCCACCTGGATCGCTTGGTAGTTGCTCACGAACTCTAACTCGCAAGCGTTCTGCACCGTCTGGTCGACGTTGTAAGTCAGCAGGCCTTGCAATTTCGCGTCAAGCAATTTCCTAAACATCAGAATTTCGACGACGTTCGCGCACTTGTTGAGCCGTTCGACGAACTCGCACGTCTTGTAGATCTGATCGACCGTCTCTTGGCCCTTCTGGGTCGCGACCCCCAACGAGATCTGTTTCGCCGAGAACACGCTTTCCAACTCTTTGAGCAGTTCCTGTTTGCGTTCCTCGAGCATCGACCTGTAGAACTGGAACGTCTCGTTGATCTCGTTCTGCGCCTTGTGGTACTGGACCTGGAGGCGGCTGGACGCGTGTTCCACGTTCTTGAGGATGTTCCGCACGTCGGTCGCTTTGAGTTTCGCCTCCGAGACGGCGTGCTGGATGGCCTCGATTTGTTTGGGAGCGGCCTCGCTCACCAATTCGTACTCGTGGAGGCCGACCGGGTGTTCGAGGTTCAGGCACTCCTTGCAGATCGGTACCGAACACGTGCGGCAATAATACTTGAGTAGTTCGGATTTGTGTCGCGGGCAGATCATGTTCTTCTCGCCTGCAACGAGCATTTTCGAAAAACGAATCAGCATTTCCGATAGGAATCGGAATTTCGGAGAAGCAAGAGTTCCTGATTTAAAGATAAGTCGGAATTTCTAAAATACAAGTCGAAATTTCCAAGAAACGAGTAATAATTTTTGACTTGAGTCAGGATACCTGGGAACAAGTCAGGATTTCGGATATAAATCAGAATTTCCAAAAAAAAAATTTTTATATACAAATATGTCATAATTTCTGAAATACAAGTCGGAATTTCCAGGAAACGAGTAATAATTTTTGACTTGAGTCAGGATACCTAGGGACAAGTCAGACTGTTTCAAAAACAAGTCCGAATTTCCCTGAACAAAATAAGAATTTCGGAGAAATAAGACACAATTTCCAACGTAAACCCTATTTTTTGAGAAAAGTCAAAATTTTCGTCGTAAATTAGAATTTCTGAAAACCAAATTAGAATTTCAAAAAAACAAATCAGAATTTCTGATATGAATCAGAATTTCCGAGAAACAAGAATTTCTGATATAAAAATAAGTCGGAATTTCCAAGAAACGAGCAATAATTGTTTACTTAAGTCACGATACCTGGGAACGAGTTAGAACGTTTGAAAAACAAGTCAGAATTTCCCAGAACAAAATAAAAAATTCTGAGAAATAACAAATTCCAACGTAAACAGTATTTTTTGAGAAAAATCAAAATTTCAATCATAAATTAGAATTTCTGAAAAAAAGTCAGAATTTCTCAAAAACCAAATCAGAATTTCTAAAAAACAATAAAGAATTTCTTATATGAATCAGAATTCCCGAGAATCAAGAACTTCTGATATAAAAATAAGTCAGAATATCTGAAATACAAGTCGGAATTTCCAAGAAACGGGTAATAATTTTTGACTTTAATCAGGATACTTGGAAATAAGTTAGAATTTTCAAGAAACAGTAATTTCTGATATGAAAATATGTCAGAATTTCTGAAATACAAGTCGGAATTTTCAAGAAACGAGTAACAATTTTTGACTTGAGTCAGAATACTTGAGAATAAGTTAGAATTTCTGATATAAATCAGAATTTCCGAGAAACAATAATTTCTGATATAAAAATAAGTCAGAATATCTGAAATACAAGTGGGAATTTTCAAGAAAAGAGTAATAATTTTTGACTTGAGTCAGGATACTTGGGTATAAATTAGAATTTCTGATATAAATCAGAATTTCCAAGAAACAATAATTTCTGATATAAAAATAAGTCAGAACAAAACAAGAATTTCTGAGAAATAAGACAGAATATTCAACATAAACCGGAATTTTTGAGAAAAGCCAAAATTTCTTTCATAAATTAAAATTTCTGAAAAACAACTCAGAGTGTCTGAGAAATAAGTCAACATTTTTGAAAAACTAGGCAGAATATCTGACAAAAATCAGAATTTCCGCGAAACACGTTAGAATTCCAGATATAAACTACAACGTTTGAAAAACAAGTCAGAATTTCTAACAAACAAGTAAGAATTTCTGACTTGAGTAAGAATACCTGGGAAACAAGTCAGAGTTTCTGAAACACAAGTCAGAATTTCCGATATAAATAAGAATTTTTGAGAAAAGTTAAAATTTCTGACATAAATCAAAATTTCTGAAAGATAACTCAGAATTTCTATCAAATAAGTAAGCATTTCTGATTTAAGTCACAATACATGGGAAACGAATCACAATTTCTGAAAAATAAGTCAGAATTTCGGAGAAACGAGTTATATAATTCCCGACATAAACCAGAATTTCTTCAAAAAATTGCCTATATAAACTAAAACCTGTTTTATTTTTCTTCACTAACCTTTTAGCGCTTTTGTGGAAAAGTCCGCCAAGTAAGTCCGCAAATGATAATTTTCAGAAAAAAAAAGACACAATTCAAAACGGGGAGCGAGCTTCCTCAGTAAACTTATTTTGTCCGAGAAACAAGACAAAGTTTCTGACTTAAATGGGAATTCCTGAAAAATAAGTCAAAATTTCTAAAAAATGAGTAAAAATTTCTGAAAAACAAGTCTCAGCAATTCCTCACATAAGTCAAAATTTCTGAAAAATTAGCGAAAATTTCTGAAAAACTAGTAACAATATCTCAACAACTCGACATTTTCTGAAACGTTTCGGAAATATTTACGATTCCTTTCAAAATGTCGACGCCAACATTAAGTTAAGGCCGGAAGAAGGCAACCGGACGATTCGTCACCAACAAAGGACACACAAAACGTGTCGATACTAACCGTTCACCATGTTATTAAAACCGTTCTTGGGCTCCTCCTTGATGTCGGAGAGGCTGACCACGCGGTGCCCCTCGAAGCAGTGCATAAATTGGTGCGCCATCAGGCAGTTGGAGCACAGGAAATTGGCACAGTCGACGCAACGCGCTACCGCGTCTAGTTTCTTGTGTTTGCAGCCGGTGCAACGGACCACCGTCGTCGATTGGAACGACTCGACCGGATCCGAACTAAACAGCAAACTGTTCAGGATGCCCTCTATCGACTCTGTGTTGCACCGCGGGCAGACGAGTTTGTTCTTCTCCAAGCAGGAGTTGCAGAACGTGTGGAAGCAGGCCAAAAGTTTCGGGTCCGATACGGCCTCCCTGCACTGCTGGCAATGGAGTTCGGACGGATCGCTGTCGCGATCCACCGAGTCGCTGACCGGTGGAGAAGATCCGCTCACGGACAGGGGCGAGTCTTCCAACGGGGAAAGGGACAGGTAATCGCCTTGGTCGCCGAACGATCCGATCGAATTTGCTCTGGGTAACGACTCGATTGACGGTGCGGGAGATGCCATCTTCAATTACCCCTCATCCCTGGAACGGAAGGAGGATATTGTTAAACCGTAGCGTCGACTTCTTCGGTCAAACATTTGACCATCTGTTTCCCTCTGCGAGGTATGCGTTGACACTTCCAAAATATGTTGAACGAACGGTGTAGTAGATTTTTATGGCAAATATCCAACCTCTATTGGAACGCTACGCTACAAGGTGATATTCGAATTCGAAACATAACAATTTTGACTTTTTTGCTCATAACCGAGACACCCTGTATATTTTTAACGGCCCAAATCCCGCTGAGTTTGCGGTTCAACATTTTTTTCGATCGGTAATGTGCGGTTTTCGAGAAACAAAACTCCTCGCTCCCCAAATCAAATTTTTGGATATTACTTTTTCAAATACATCGAAACTTTCGATCTTGCTTCTGGCGACGAAACTTCAAAATGACCGACAAAATGGATGCGTAGTTCGAATCGGTCGGTCCGTCAGGGGTTACCCGTAAGATCCGAGAAATCTTTGTGAACTCATAGTACGTTTCTAAAACCAAGTTTTTTGAGTACCTACTCTCCGTTAATTAAATAATAAACTAATTATCGGAAATGTCAACTTGTAAAAAGAATATATTACTAACCGTTTTTAATCGACCTTCAGTCAGAAAAATTGGTGCGCAAGCAGGATAATACAAAATAGTTCAAAATATTACATTTAAAGTTTCCACTGTACCGAAACAAACCCAATAAGGATTGTCACAAACCACCGTTGGCAACACTTTTAAAAGGAAAAGGCAATTCGTGTCCTTAAACTTAAAAAAAAAACAGCAGATCAGCTTTGAAGAAACCCGCTTTCGAAACCATGAGGATAATCAGACATTTAACAAAGAAGACAAAACCGAAGAGAAGAGAGTTAGCTCTAAACACGATTGAAGACAGAATGAAGAAAAACAAAATTAACTCTCACGCATTTAACGACGATGACGTGAATAGAGATGCAAAAAGCAAAGTAAACGGCCAGATATTTAACTTAACGAAGAGGATGTAAACAGACTTACAAACTTGAAGACAGAGATAACTCTTACAAAAATGAAGACAGAGTTAACCCTTACAAAATTGAAGTCTGAGTTAATTCTTACTAAATTGAGAACAATACAAATTTAACTCTCAAATATTTAATGAAGAGGACGTGGACAGATTTACAAACTTGAAGACTGAGTTAACTCTTACAAAAATGAAGATAGAGTTGACCCTTATAAAATTGAAGGTAGAGTTTTAACTCTCACATATTTAATGAAGGGACCGTGGACAGATTTACAAACGTAAAGACAGAATTAACTCTTACAAAAATGAAGACAGAGTTAACCGCTACAAATTGAGGCAAGGTTTTAACTTTCAGATATTTAATGAAGAGAACTTGAAGACAGAGTTAACTCTTACAAAAATGAAGACAAACAGGGTTAACTCATACAAATACAAAATACATACAGATATTTAACGAAGAGAACGTGGACAGACCTGAGAAATTTAGAATTCCCTTGCATATGACTGGATGGAAAAAAAGACGTAAAATTAAATTAAAATTGTAAGTTAAATTGTAAAATATTCTATATTGTATATGTGTTTATGAGTTAAAGTTCGATATTGAACTATTTCGTACTTTGGTGCTTGTCCGGCTCGTAGTGACCGAATATGCAATTGCTTATACGAGTTGGTGTAGAAGACCGGGAGTTTTCTTTCGGTTTGTTCAAAAATTACTATTCAAAATTGCCGAAACGCGGAAAATGGATCGCAAATCTGCGAAATCTTCATAGAATCGTCTCCGAATGGAATTGTCTCGGGGCGCTTCCTTCCTTCGGGCCGTCGAAAAACAAAAACGAAAAAAAAAAAGAAGCTAGACGTCTGGCCTCGGACCGCGATCCAAAACAAAACGCGCGTCGCCGTCGCGGCGCGCGTCGCATTACGTTTGTTGCAGCAATAATTCAACTAAGGGTTGCAACCCTCGTTCGGCGTTGCCCGGGCAACGATGTTCGTCTCCCCCTTCCCGCCCCCCTCACCATGGGACGCATCGATCGCGCCAGACTCGTCTCGCACACTCACCCCCTCCGAATTGACAGAGCGTTCAGCAGGGTGCATTCCACTCTCCGAAGCGGGCACCGGGGTCAGTGGCGGGGACGAGTTCTTTTTTTTTTTGATCCCGGAAAAGATTAACCGCGTTGATAAATGCGCAAACATCAAATTGCACGCTAAAATTCCGACTTTTATTACGAAATTTCCAAAATGTCCCGTTTTTACTGGAAATTTTGAATTTTCCGTTGGAACACGACGTTTTGTCCCTTCGATAGTTGTGTTTTATCTCTAGAGTTAAAAATTTCTGCTTTAAAATGGTTTAAAATGGAAAAAATTAAAATTTCATGTTATTGTATCTAGAAATTTTACATTTCCTATTTGAATTTAAACTTTTACCTGAAAATTTTATTTTTTTTAAGCCAAAATGTTATCCGAAAATTTCGTATTTTATTTCGAGATAAAATATAAATCGAATTGTTACCCCAAAAACTTCATGATTTATCTCGAAATTTTAAAATTTTCTGTTTTAACCAGAAACATTACCTGAAATTTTCATATTTTATCTCGAAATTTTACATTTCGTGCTTTAACTCGAAATGTCCCTCCCTTCAATAGTGTTTTATCTCTAAAGTTAAAAATTTCTTGTTTAAATAGGAATTATAGGCTAAAATTTCGAATTATACCAAACAGTTTCTTCAATATCGTCTTTCAACTTTTAAAAAAACTTGAAATTTTCATGTTATATCTCGAAATTTTAAAATTAAAAAAAAAATTTAACCGAAAATTTTACCTTCAACTGTCCTATTTTATACAAAAATTTTGAAGTTTCTCGTTTAACTTGAAGTTTTTTTATCTCGAAATTTAAAAATTCTCTGTTTTAACCGGAAATGTTACCAGAAAACTACATGTTATATCTCGAATTTTAAAAATTTGATAATTCAATTCGACATTTTACCTTCAACCGTCGCGTTTAATATAAACATATTAAAGTTTCGCGATTAACTAGAAATTGTAACCTGAAATCTGGATTTGCAACCAGAAATTTTGAAAATGTCACGTTTTAACTCGAAATTTTACCTGAAAATTTCGTTTTGAACATCAAATTTAAAAATTTAGTTTTAACCTGAAATGTTACTGAAAGTGTCATATTCAACTGTCGTGTTTTATTTAGAAACTTTAAAGTTTCGTGTTTAATTCGAAAATGTAGCATAGAATTTTGACTTGTGAACTAAAATTTCACACACGTTTTGAAATTTTAAAATATCCTGGTTGAACTCGGATTTTTATCTGAAAATATTTTAAAATTTCGTGTGTAAAATAGATTTTCAAAAAAGCAAAAATTTTTGGCCGTTTTTCTTTTAACCAGTTGATTATGCCAGGGGCACAAAAATTCTGTTCATTTTCTATCTTCAATACAAAAATATACTGTGTACCAAAAATATCCCATAGTTATACATTGCAGTTTTAAGCAAACAGCAATCAAAACAAGTAGAAAAATATCAAATAGTATCAACTAGCTACATTGTATACCTCTATAGCGTGAACAAATAACGACATATAACTAGTGTTAATTTCTTTTTTATAGTTTATTAGGTCTGCTGTAAATTTCGACGAATTTCCTAGACCCGGCGTTGTTTTCCCCTTCGACATCTCTTTTCGACACGAATTAACTTTGTTTCGTTCCCTTCTTCGAATGACGCGTTTACGGGGAGATTCCCGCTGCTACTACGTCACTGCGTTCCCCTGATTCGTCCGCCGAAGCCATCCCCCCCCCACAAAAGGGGTTTAACGAATTGCAGGAATAACAAGGCGTTCGATGCTCTCCGCGGGGGTGGGGGGTGTGAAATTATTGAATTAATTGAACATAGTGATAACAATAACCCGACAAAAATCTGTGGAAAATCTTCAATTCGTAGTTCCGCATCATTTCCAAAACGTCTTCTTTGCTAAGAAAATCAACATGAATCCATATCGTTTAGTTATCAATACCACAAAACCAAGGAGCCAAAAAGGGGTTCCAAATTGATCGGACGTCTTGAATAAAGATTTGAAATTTTGAATTTTAACTGAAAAAAATTGTTTCAATTCGACCTTTTCTTTGAAATCTCATAGACATTTCAAAAATTTCCTGTATTAAGTAGAAACGTTACCTGGATTATTTTTTAAATTCAAAAATTCTACCGCTAGTTTAAAAAAAACTTTCTAATCCGATGTTTTTTTGTACTTTGATTCGAAATTTTGTCTTCAATTGTCGTATATGATAAAGAGATTTTTAAATTTCGCGTTCAATTCGAACCTGTGGGCTAAAATTACGATTGATCACTGAAAATTTGCAAAATGTGTTTTTTTCTCGAATTTTTAAAATTTATTGTTTTTAACTTGAACTGTTACCTTCAACTGTCAACTGGAATACATAAAACATGAAATTTTAACCAAAACCAACGGTTTTGCTTGGCCAACTTCATAAGGCTACTACTTGAGACTTGCAAATTCGTACTTTTTTGAAAGTTTTTATTCATTTGATCTGAGAATAACTAATATCTCAATTATAATGTCTACACGCGTTAAAAACAAATAGAGCAAAGATCTTATATATTTTTATAGGTGAAGTTTTACGATAGATGTATAATGTAAAGTTCTATTAAAAAAAAATCTCAAAAAATTTAATTTATTGAGACTCGAAGCGATAAACTTAATAAACGCAAATGCACAAAAACGAAGCAATAAACGAATTATTATTATTAAAAAATATATGAGTAATTAACAACAAATATTTGTTTGTAATTTATAACAAATTATGTATTAAATTATTTAATAAACGTGAATGTCCAAAAAAAAAAGTAAACTAATTATTAGCAAAAATGTTTGTTTTTTATGATAACTTTAAGGTAACATTTATTTGGTTTAAAATTATATATTTTATGGGTTAGACTTTGCATTTTATAATAAACTATGTATTAAATCTTGTAAACCACC